AAAGGACAGTAGTGAACACTTTGAAGTGAAAAATGCTGCTTTGAGTTTTTAATTCTCATAAGTTTATGTTTGCTATGGATACTGTGTTGCCTTTTGAGAGCTGCAAATTAAGTAGGATAAAATCCAAATATTTGATTACCACACTCTTGAGCGGAGAGGCCTCTGTGTTATATTGGCTATAAGTATGAGGGCGGGAATTGATAAATGCAGTGGTCTTCCCTGACTCCTTTTGAAAATGGCATCCCTTCAGGGTGGAGCAACTGGTGAACAAAACGCCTGTGGGTGCTCTCACCTGCATAAGAATAGTAGTAATAGGTTTATGCTTGCCTCAAGGTGATAATATGATTGAAAATAGTCAAAGGATGCAGAGTTGTTTAGAGTGCATAGACAAGGAAGCTAAAAACTAGGTATATCTGGATTCTGCTGTCACATGGGAAAAGCCTACGAGGTTCAGATCTTAAGTCCTTTATTCTGCCTTTGGCACTAAGCAACATAAGTGCTTAGGGAAGTGTATAATAGCATAACAGGTAAGATGTCTTCAAGGATAGTTGCTTAACGTACTAGTATTGGTATTGCACAAAAAGGAAAAGTCATTTTGTATTTTTACCCGAAGAACTGTTATTGGGCCTACAGCGAAGACACCAGTTTCCTTCCGTAGCCACTGTTTGCCTTATCCTGCAGTCCACCAACCCAGTCTTAAATTCTAGGTCTTTCTTCCAAGACTGCATCGCATACCTCTTAGACTTCTGTCCTTGACCCGATTGTGAAACCCAATTTCAGAATTCTGTACTTTAATTTCAAAGCTGAATTACATGTAACAAGGCTTCTTTTGAGTTCCTGATTATTGTATTTCTCATTAGTCAAGGTATCTAGAGCTCTTATGAGAAAATATTCAAAGTTTATCTACATAAGAGTTTGGAAAATCTAGACAAAGGAGGAGTTCAAACTTAATTCTGAACCACAGATTCATCTAATGAAAAGGTGTGATTCTCCCTCCACCACCACTGTCTCTGTTCAGTACTCTTAGACATCCTCCAAAGAAACCATACTTGGCTTTAATGAAATGAGGTGAGAATTAATGGTGAACACCTTTGTGAAATGTCATAGCTATAAATGAAGATTAGAATAAATATGGAGAGTAATCTGAAATGTGCCAGGAATGCAAAGAAACTTAAATCTTATTTGGACCTATGTGTCTCTTGCCACCTCTGTTTTCCCCTTCCTCGATCTAAAAGTTCCTGTTCTCTAGTGTCTGCTAGTTTTGCTGATAGTAGTGATCATTAAAGATGTAAGGGTCACATTTCACCTGCAAGTGACCAGTGAGGGGCCTTAATTAGTCTATATTTTCTTGAATTACTTGTCCTGATGGATGTTTACAGCCATTTTCACTTGTGCTTGGTCTTGAAGTATTCTTTCCATTGCAACAATTTATTTGGAGAAAGTGTGTTGAATTTTATTTTTCCTCAAACTTTGGCTTGGCTTTTCATTATTTGTATTTGCCCATTGTGAGGTTGAGTGGCAATGAAATTTTACACGAATACTTTTTGTTCTTGAAAATTGTGTCTAATAAATCTTGCATTTGTGTCTTGCTTAGTCCTGCCTAATTAAAAATTGAAATGCCAAACAAATAATTTATATGCAGAAATAGTGAGGCATGGTTTGGATACTTTGAAGTAGAATTAATATATACAGCACATCCTTTGGAAATGTAACTTTTGGGTGTAAGAAAAGAAACTTGCCATGTCTTATGAAGATATTTTTTGATCTGTAAACTACCTGGTTTGTATAAAAGAATGTTTTAAAACAAACATAGCAATTTATCAATTTATTTTTAGTTGCCAGTGTGTTTATGAGCTAAGTTTAAGATCAGATTTTCAGTTTTATCTTACTTTTGACTTTAAATCCAGATATTTAAATACTACATCTATAAATATTGTCAGTAAAAATGACCAGCTTTGTGGTATAATGCAGTATAATTCTCAATCACATGATACTGTCAGTTTTCATTTAAAATCAACTTTTTCAAAACTTATTTCTAAATTAACTTAATCAGATTAACTTCATTTAGTCACATCTGTTCATGATTGTTTTCCCCTTTTACTAGCCATACAAATCATGAAATTAAGCTAATTATATACCATTATCAGCTGCAAAGAACTAGTTTCACAGTTTTATACCTTTTAATTCCCTGCAGGAGATTAAGGCTTGTTTTTTGTTAATATGTAAAGTGCAGTAACTTAAATGGATTTCCCTGCAGTTATTGCCAAAGGATTAACTAGTTTATTATTGTTTTTCACTATTGAAATTGGTTTTAAAACACTACATTTTATGTGGTTTAATCGATGGCAATGCTTGTCATGCTATTGAGAAACATTTTCCAAATAGAACCGCTATATATGAGTAATTGTTATACAGCAATAAAGCAAAAGAAATAATTGTCTTGTCAAGAGTGTTTATTGATGGTAACATCTGATTTTTATCTTCTCTGCTCCTCCCTCTTTTTTGGGGGGCTTGGGGGGATACTGCCCTCACACAGGTGATGATGAGCAGAGTGATTGGTTTCACGAAAATGAATCTGGTGGAGCATGTGGAATTACGGGGGTCATTCCATGGTGGGAACAAGAAGACTCGACAGAACTGGAGAGAGAATTGCCTGATCCAGTCTTTGAAAGTATCTTAACCGGTACTTTCCCTCTTATGTCCCGTTCAGGGAGGAGAGGTAAGTAGAAATCAAGCAAATGCAAACTGTAGAATCACTTGGGTACAGTAGAAAGATGTCTGTGGATTATACAAAATATGCAAAACGTTGACAAGATCTTGGGGTTACCTGTTTGTTTCCTTGAACTATTTCATTTTTTAAGATATCATTGGAGAGAAATAATTAAAAAGTCAATGATTAGAAAAGTCAGAAAGTGTAAAACTTGGCTTATTTGGATAGCCTACTCTTTTATTTGTTGTCTTGATGTTTGCATTGAGAATTATTAAGCGTTATTTAAAGACTTTATATTCCATTTTGTTCCTAGCTTCTATGATAATGTTTAGAATTCTATAGAAGTTCATTAATTCAAAGGCTGGAAAGACTAGTGTGAACATCTGCTTTGCTTTATGGTCAGGCCATATTGAGAAGAGGGAAGGGTTCCTTTAGAGCAAGAATTGGGATTGTAACTTAGAAAATACCCCCCCCCCCTTTTTTTTTTTTCTTTAAAATGCTTTAGACAACTGTGGATCCAGTGTATGCAATGGTAAGTTGTACTAGTGTTTGATTGTATTTACAGCTGGCAACCCACTCTTAAGATTGAAGTTGTCAGACCTCAGCTTGCTGCCAAAGAATTTTGTTGTGCCTTCCCCCTGCCACAAGTATCTCCTTTCACATTCAAATACAGATCTTTTATGTAAGCAGTGGTCAAATCACTTTTAAACTACTCTGTACACCGAATGCATTGAATTCTTTTGTGAGGCTTATTTTCCAGATGCTTGAAATTGTTTCTGAGGACTTGGTCTCTGCATATTCACCAGATTTAACATTTTCTAGTACTAATGAAGTTGTAAGTGATGCAAAAATCATTTTCCTACTGTAGTTGAGTATGCTCTGCTTATGTAGCCACTGTGCGTAGAACCAGGATGGCAGTAAGAATATCTACAGTAATGTTCATTTTCATGACAACTTAGCCTTTCTCTCACTATTCCCATTCTGTGCCCTTTGTTTCCACCAGTACAATGTTCGACGATATTGAAGATGTTTTTGTTTAACTGAAGTCAGATTAATAGATTGGTATGTAATGGTGAATTTTATTGCTTATATGGTATAGGAAATATTCTTAAATCAATTCATACTTTTTTTGTAGGTTTCCAGGGTAGATTTAGTCATCTTCATGGAATGCCAGCAAGAAACATAAAAAAGGCTTCAGGAAACCAGAATGCATTGGTAGGTGCTTTTATTATTGTAAGCTAACATGCACTGTTCTTAGAGGTTTTTTTAAAAAAGCATATTCCTCTCATGCTTGTTTCCTAATGTTGCAGATAGGTAATGGAGTGGTTAAGACTACAGTGCCACTGTTGCCTTGTTGTTTGTTTGCTTTTCTTAATAGTTAGACTCTTCCCACTGCAATTCTATTGTAATGGAATATTTGTGTGTACTTGAATGGCAGAAACAGTCTGAGACTGTTTCTCAGTACTTATTTCAAACTGAGTGAAGAAAAAGGTTGGGGGGGGCATTATTTAACATTTTCAGTATATATCTTGTACATGAAAACATGTTTCTCTCCTCTTACAATGTCAAACCAAAGTTATTTGAAGTTTTTCTGGTACTGAAAGCATTCTAGGATGGGTTGTGGTACAATTTTGATTTTGATTTCTCCCCCCCCCCAAAAAAGTCTGCTTTGAAAAATCTGTCCTTATTCTCTTTTGTTTGGTTGACTTCTATGTGGTCAACAGAAAGGGTATATACAAAAAATTCAAAGCAACTTAGCGATGCACCTGTCATAGACATCATGCATTCCTTTGGACTGAGTCTTCTAAGGCTGTGAATATAAATGAGAGATGTTTGAGGGTTTTTTTAGTGCCTTCAGCTCTAGGAGTAATGTTTGTAAGTGAGGGGAAAAAAAATCCAACTGTCCTTGCATTTTTGCACAATCTAATAATTGGATTTTGCCATAGCTTTTTTCTAAAATAAGATTCTAATGAATTTTTAAGAATTTGTTCTTTGGAGGAGAGCATAAGAAGTGACTTGACTGTTTAAATTAAAATGTTAAAATGTATTTATTGTAGTGCAGTCTATTCCTTTCTTACCAGAATAGTGTTTGGAAGAGGAGGAGAATGTGGGAGACTCTTTATCAGTGTGTGATAAACATATCCCAGCACAATAAATACTGCAACATCGATGTTCTTTATTTGAGAACATTAAATGTTTTCAAATTTTAATTTGCCTAAATAAAATAAGGTGCTTCTGAGAAATGTAAGAGCTATTATATGTGGAGAGAATAGAAAGGAACTGTTAGAAATTTAACTCGTTTTGAAGAGGGAAGGTTTTTATAATTGAAGTCCCTGTCCAATAATTGCCATTTGGAGCTGAATAACATGCTTTAAAACCTTGGCCTGTGATCTCTGCTGTTAGTGGTTGTGAATTAGATGAATGCTATCTAGTTCTTGGTTTCCTATCTACCTATTTTTATTTTTGGTTCAGTGCTTGCTTGAGCATATCTGGGATTTGTAGCCCATTTTCTAGGCTTATTGCAATTTCACTCTGGTATTTTATAGGAGCTATTATAACTGATAGGTTAGCTTCATGGTATTGATGATACATGGCTTAACTACCCTAAAAACTGCCTTTTCCTCTAAATTGTAAAAAGGTGATTAAATTTCAATTGATGAAGATATACTGTGAATGTGTATATATAATAAAAAATCCTAATGTTTATTTTCTGCTACGCTTTCTGGATTGTCCTTAGGAGCCCATTTTGTCTTCCAGTCATGATATCTCATATATAAAGATGGCATTGTAGTTCCCTTTATAACGACAATGCAAGCCAATCTACTAAAGACTGATAATTCAGTTACCTCCAGTTATTACATGTATTATTTACATAGTGTTGTGAAACAAGGTTGACATGTGAACGTACCTTCTAAGCCACTACGTTTAGGCAGGAGTGCTAATATAGAATGGATGTGCAGTTGGCTCTTCAGATGCAGTTTTCTGACCTTCTTAATGACTATTTATGTTTGTGGGCACATCTGCTTCATCTGTCTGCAAACGTAGCTATACAAGCCAGAGCTCGTGTGCTTCCTTTTGTCAGTGATTGCTCCTTCAGGAAAATCTCTTTTAGATACTCCAATCCACTGACAAAAAAAAGTCATTTAATACCTGTGACATCTGATAACACAGAACAAGAAGTAATTACTGCTATTAGATGGTAACAGTGAAGAAGAGCAAGAATGCTTTTAGAAAGATTAATATCCTGAGGAAAGAACACTGCAGACTCAACTCATTAAACAGAGTTGTGGTGTGACTTAATTCTTTCTTTCCCAGCGAGGAGTCTGATGTCTGTATCACTGCTTTTACACAGACTTTAAGGGGAGACAAAGTAAAAAATGGAGTTTCCTACTGAGATACGTTACCTAAAAGATACACATCATATACTGTACTCAGTCTAAGGATGCATAGTTTGTATCTAGGAAATATGAGCATATAGTTAGCCCTTTGCATACAGTCAATGTGTGTTTAAAGTTTTTTGGAAAGGTTTAGTTGAAGGCTCACAATCATAGCAGCTAGCGAAACCGTGAAGAGATAACTGGTTTAGGGAAGGCAGAAGGAATAGCTATGGTAATACCTTGATATATTGTCATCCTCTGTCAAAAAGTTTAATGCCCAACTGTTTGGGTGTTTTCTTGTAAGAGAAACATCAGGCTAAGAGTGTGATTATTGCTTGCTATATACCAAGGAAACTGCTAGCTTAAGTCATTTTCACACCACAGTTTCTAGAAGCAGTGGGACCTGAGAATCAGAGGAAGAATGCTGCTCTTTATGGACCAGTTAGTGAACTTTAATTTGAAGTAGCCACAGCTGGCACTCAGATTATGTCCAGATGCTCTTCCTGCATTTCATTGACAAGTTGTTTATTTGAACAAACTCATGGATCTTTCTGTTATCAAGCGTACTGCCTTTGAGTCAAAACACTTTGCTAATGATTGGACAACACTGGACAAGCAAGAGAGAAGTAAAAACCTAGCATGCAAATACTATGAAAATCCTCGCCTAATCCAATGTGCAAGTTGAATGAGTTGTTGTACAGCAGATGACAACTGAAAAAGCTGAGCAAGAAAATGAAAAAAAAAAAAAATTCTTCACAACTGGCTTATATCCTTTGTGTTGTCCAATTTACTTAAGATAGGCACTTTTTTATGGAATCCATAATTAAATGGTTTGTCAGGTGTATATTTTGACATATAATTATAATGCTGGCATTTCATGTCTTCATTGCTTTGTTTTGTGGCAGCATCATTTGTAACAGGACTTTATTTGAAAAGAAATAGAAAAAGGTGGCTTTTCTAATACACTATGCTTTTGATCCCATCTGTGTCAAGTTGCTAGTAGGAACTTTGTAATTCTAATCAGAAACATGATACATGTACTTTCATACCATACCAGTATTTAACGTACTCTTTTAATGAGGTATATTGCATGAAATCTTGTTGTGCTTGGTTGAATTCTGCAGTTATATATGACCTGATCAACTATTCCCAACCCCCACATTCTTTTGTTAGGCAAAACTTTTTTGCCTCGGTCTTCGCTGGCAAGTGCTCGAGCCTCACTGCCCAAGCCACAGAAGGCAAAGGCAGGGACTGGGAGAATGAACACTCTCAGGTTCGAGACCATCTAAGGCACCTGAAGGTGCACAAGTCCATGGGACCTGGTGAGATCCATCCGTGGATCCTGAAGGAACTGGCAGATGAAGTTGCTAAGCCACTGTCCATCGTATTTGAGAAGTCGTGGCAGTCCGGTGAAGTTCCCACTGACTGGAAAAGGGGAAACATAACCCCCATTTTTAGAAAGGGAAAAAAGGAAGACCCATGGAACTACAGGCCAGTCAGTCTCACCTCTGTGCCTGGGAAGATCATGGAACAGATCCTGCTGGAAGCTATGCTAAGGCACGTGGAGGACAGGGAGGTGATTCGAGACA